TTTTTATTTCCTCAACGAAAACCCTGAATTTCTCCAAACGATATTATAATTAAATTTTTTTTTTTTTTTTTAATTTAAGTTCGATTTTCCTTATTTTCCTAACGACAACATCCTGTACTGTTACAAAAAAAAAATTAGTTAAATATTTATTATTATTATGTAAACAATGACATTTTGAAAAGTGGAAATTGGAACCTCGAAACAACCGTTGACAACTTTCTAAATTCTTTTCTTTTATTTTTTCTCTCTCTCTCTCTCTCTCACCAAATAAGGAAATTCAATCAAATAAATATATATATTTTATTTAATTTATCGTTTTATCTACTCCCTTATATATATATTTTCCTTAAAAAAATTATTTTCACACAATAAATTTATTAAAATAAGACAAATAAAAAAAATTATTATTCTTATTGTTTATAATAAAGTCTGAAATTTTTTCTTTTTTTTTTTTTACGTAATTATTATAAAACACGTTTTTTTTTTTTTTTCATTTTTTTTTCTTATTGTTTTTTTTTTTTTTTTTTTAAATATTGCTAAAATTTATATTAATTTATCAATGTTTATTTAAATGTTAAATAAAAAAAAATAATGTTGTTTGTGTTTAAAAAATGAACACATAATTATAACAAATATTTATATTTTTCTTCTTTTTTTTTTTTCAGGGGAAAAAAGGAAATTCAATAATAATAAATTCGTTTTCGTAATTGGAAAACTTAAAAAGGACCTTTGAGTGATTTCCATTTATTATTATTATTATTTATATTTTCAAAAAAAAATTATTTAAATTCGTTTTTTTTCTATATAAACTCATTAATTATAATCATTCGTGGATTTAATGCTTTTGTTTTTTTTTTTTTTAATCCTCCTGCATGAGGATTATAAGAAGACATTTTTATTAATCAATCAATCATTCATTAATAATTAGGATGGATTATTTATTATTAAAGTAAAAAAAACGTACTAAACGTAAGAATATTGTTTAAATTGTAATAGTTATGGTAAATGATAATAATTGTTTTAACACGGACGGATCCCCTCCATTAAATAAAATTATTATTATTATTATTTTGTTTTCCTAGTAAAAAATCATTTTTTATTTTATATTCAATGTAATAATGTATAACGATTTACGATAATAATTTAAGTACTTTCATTTGACTACTACTACTACTGTATTTCACTTTATTTAACTGTGCAAGTGATAATAATAATAATAATAATAATGTTCACGGTAAATAAAATTTAATCGGTTTTGAATATCGTTAATTTTTTGGATTTTCGGCTTAAAAACAATTTTTTTTTTTTTTTTTTAAATTATATTTTAACGTGGTTTGTTCATTCGGTGTTTTTATTAAAATGAAATTTTTTTACTTGTCGTTGTTTTTTTATGCGACTCTAAAATTTTGCTTATGTGAAAATCAAAATTTTTTTTCTTTTGACAATAATAATAATAATAATAACGGTTTTACAAAATACAACAATTATGAAAAAAATCTATTGGAAAATAATATGAAAACAACTAGATCGAGAGAAAATATAATCAATGGAAATAAATATAATTATTTACCTTTCTTTGGAATTGAAAAAATGGTGGATAAGAATCAGAAAGCGAAAAAAAATTTATCGAATCATAATTATATAGATTTATCAGTGCCGTATTCCGTGGAAAATAATTATAAAAAGGATCAATCTAAAGGTTTTAGATCATCGAAGACCCCAAATGAAAAAAAAAAATGTTTTTTTATTAAATTAAATTTTTGTTCGATCGAGTCGGTTAATTGTTCAGGAATAAATATTGATTCACGCGTTTCAAACGTGTCTCCGGATTTTAAAAAATTAATTAATTTTTACGAAAAACATTTTAATTATAAATTTTTACCCTCTTGGATGTTATCAGGTGCGTTTTTAGTTTCTACTTCGGATTCTACCGTTAATAAAAATGAATTTTTATTCACTTTTAATAAAAAATTCGATTCCCCGGATGACAAAGTTTCAGACTTGGATCAAATTTGGATTTTTTTAAATAATTTAACTGAAATATTACTTGCGAGAAAAGAAAAATTTTGTCCGAAAATTTTTTCCTGGGGCAATGAAAATTTTTCCATTCGGGAAAATATAAATAATTTAAAAAAGTATAATAAGAATTTTAAAAACGAGGAAAATGGAAAAGAAAAATTTATTTGGACCGAAACCGATGAGTTTTCTCCGCATAAAATTATAAGCAGGAGCACTTCGGAGCTTTTTGGCGAGTTCGGTAGAGATTTCGCGGAATTCGGCGAGGAGCCCTCAGATGAAAGAAGCGTGGAAGAAGATAATCGAGAATTTCCTTTTGCAAAAAGTGAAACTAATTCGCCCGATTATTCCGGTTTGGATATTTACGAAAAAGCGTTAAACTCTTACGTAATGCAAGACAAAGAAGGAAGGAGAAAAGAATTAGAAAAAGCTGTTGAAAGATACGTTGAAGACTACATTGAAAAACAATTGGGAGAAGAATTAATAAAACGTTCCGGAATCCCGCGGAAAACAGTTTTCGAATTTTCATTGAAAAACGGTCCCAAGATAAAAACAATAACAACTTCCGTGGCAAAAACGCAAAGAAAAATAAAAAAATATCCGTCGAATCGTAAAATAAATAATTTTGAATTAACGGAAAATAAAAAGGAAAAATCATTTTTAAATGATTGGATAGATGATCGGCGGAAAATTATAAAACGTCCGAAATTATCGTATTTAAAAAAGGCAACTAATAATAATAAAGCGTGGAAAGTCATAATTCATTGAATTAAATTTATTTTTTATTTTTTAAATACAACTCATTATAATTCATAATCATCTTTATTTTTTATAACAGTTTCGTAATAGAAAAAAAAAGCGTTTGAATTTTATTTCCGCATTTAAAACGGAAATGATTGGATGTAGATTTTTTTTTTTTTTTTTACATTGATGCGTGAATTTTTATTAAAAAAAAAATTTTTTTTGAATAAGTTTTTGTAAAATTTTATAAATAAAATAAATATTGTGGCAATTATTAATTAAATATATTCAATAATAATTTTAAAATGGGGGGAAAAAAAATTTTTTTTAATATATCAATTCCTGCCACATTTCTTTTGTCGTACATCTGCTGACACTTTGTAAAAGTAAAAATGATAAACTGTTAAAGTCTAATCATAATTTTCTTTACCGGGATTTTACATTATTAACGCTTAGATTGCATTATTTAATGCAATAAATAAAATACTATTAGGTGGGTTAAAAATTTTTTTGTCGAATAAAACTTATAGAGTAATAAATACATTGAAATTTTTGTAATGGAGCACAAAAAAGTCTATGTACTTTTTCATTTAAAACCACTTGACAGTTGCGTTTAGAATTATTTTTGATTAATATAAATATAGCTTATTAACTTATAATATTTTATGTTACATACTCATTTTTATAAATTTTATAACATGGATTCGAGCATTAATGCCCGAATTTGAATTTAATTAAGGTTGAAATAAATTATTTTGATGGAGTACTTAAGCCACCACTGTGACCTTTCAAAACTTGGTTACCAAACCAAAAAAAAATTATATTTATTTATATTTTAATTAGTCAAAGTGTATTAATTTAAATTTAATCAATGTAATTTTTAGTTATGAAGTACTATGTAATAAAGCAATGAGGTCTCAAATATGTTCAAGAATACTTCTCGTTTCATTTATTGTCTGGTTTATCATTTTATTGTTTGCTGCTCGACATTTGTCATCATTAAAGTCAGGATATGGAATTGGACAAAATGCCATTAGTGAAGGAAATAAAAATAGGTTAGAGGCAGCTCTTAATAAACTTCATGTATTACAACAGCATTCAGAACATTTAAAAGCTGTTTTCGAAACTCTGTTAGTGTTTTTTAATTTTTTTTTTTTTTTTTATCAATTGTTTTTTAAGCAAATATGAATTTTTTGTTTTATGTAGTAATTTATCATTAAATTTTCAATTTAGTAACAATGCTGAAGAAAATGATTCAGTTAATGAAATTTTGAAAAGTGCTGAAAAAGTAGTGACACCTTTCGAGGAGAAAATAGATGTTAAATCATTGTACAATTCACCCAGCCTTGGTTATGAGACCCTGAGGAAAAGAATTCAAGATGATGCTCAAGAGTTTTGGTTTTACATTTCATCACAGCTGGAAAAACTGAAAGGAGACATAAAAAGAACCTCTCCTGAACTGACAGAAAAAATAAATAATATTTTAAAAATGACTGCCGAGCATAAATTGTAAGAATTTTGTTTTAAATTCTATTCATTTTTTTATTGTAAGTATATAACAATCTAAAAGTATTTTTATACTTTTGTCTTTTTCCAAAAAAAAAAAAAAAAAATTGTCAGATTTTTTTAGATATTTCATGCAATTTTTTTTTTTTTTAAGCAAAATGAATATAAAATTTTATTTAAACATTAAAAATAAATCATATCTGTACACATTTTTTTATTCATTTTGAGGGTTTCTAAAACATGTCTTTTTAAATAATTGTTAATTATTAAATATTTAAATATTTAATACCCACAGGTATTTTAATTTTTTTTTTTTTTAACATAAATTAAATTTTTTTTGTTTAGGTCGTTAATGAAAGATATTAATGGACTTAGTAAAGAAGATGGATTTTCATCTTGGAGAAAATCTGAATCGGCCAGTTTAGCAGCAGAGTTAGAAAAAAGACTAAAATTATTACAAAATCCTGAAGATTGCACCACAGCTAAAAAGCTTATTTGCAATTTAAATAAGGTAGGTGTTCAGTTTTCACTTTTGGCATTTTATTTAACTTTTTGAACATTGTGTTAATAATTTTTTTTTTATTTTATTTTAGGGTTGTGGATTCGGGTGCCAAATTCATCATGCTGCATACTGTTTAATTGTAGCTTATGCTTCAAAAAGAACTCTTATTTTGACAAGTAAAGGATGGAGATACCATAAAAGTGGTTGGGAAGATATTTTTTTACCTCTTAGTGACACTTGTCGCAGTCCATCTGGTGCTTCTAGAGTTGGCTGGCCAGGTAACATAGATTATTTTCTTTTTTTTTTTTTCTTCTTTAATATAATTTCATTATCAGTACACTTTTATTTTATTTTTTTTATAAAGTTATATTGCCTTAAAAACTTTGTTTTTTATAGAATTATTACAGTTTTTTTTATTTTTTTTATTTTACAATTTTTCTATTATTACACAAATAAATAAATAAAAATAATACTTTTATTAATGAACTTACTTTTATTTATAATAGTTGTTTTCATACAAAAAACAATTACAAAACGTCGTTAAAAGATGAGAGTATTATTTTTATTATTTTATAAGTAAATTTATAAAAATTTTTTCTTTTTTTTCTTTTGCAGGTCAGTCCGATTCGCAGGTTGTAGTTCTTCCAATTATCGATACTCTTTTTCCGAGGCCTGAATTCTTGCCTCCAGCTATTCCAAAAGATTTAGCACCCAGATTAATTAAATTACATAGTCAACCGTTGGCTTGGTGGATCGGACAAATGCTGAGATATTTAATGAGACCGCAGCCTTCAACAGAAAAGTTTTTTAATGAATCTATTAATAAACTTAATTTTAAAAAGCCTATAGTAGGGTAAGTAATATTAATAAATATGTTTCCCCTTGATAATTTAAAAAATATAATTTATTATATATAAATATTTTTATATCTGGGGTGTAATACCTTTTAGCGTTAATAGATTTTCAAGAATTTAAAAAAAAAAAAAAAAAAACATGAAGATCGGAATACAAAGTACCTTTTATAGCAAAGTCATTTTAGGTATATATTTAAATGACAATATCTCTTAATTACTCCTGCCAATTTATTTTTAATTTTTTAAATTAACGACATAATAATAATAATAATAATTTATTATTTATTTTTAAAGTGTTCACATTAGGAGAACGGATAAAATTGGGACCGAAGCTGATTTTCATTCAATAGAAGAATACATGAAACACGTTGGAGACTGGTTTGATCAACAAATACAAAACGGAGTAGAAATAAATCGTCGAAGAATATATTTAGCCACTGACGATCCAAAAGTTATTTTCGAAGCCAAAAACAAGTTAGTAAATTAATATTATTTATTTTTTTACCGGGTTTTTCCCCCGCATTCCCCCCCTCCCCGCTTATATTATCCAGTTTATTATTTACTTCATTTTTCATATTTATTAGTTTTTTAAAAAAAGTTAAAATTCATAAAAAAAATCTTTTCGAAGAATCGCCCTTTTATTTATTCTCGAGAAAATGGGTTTTAAAATTTTTATATTTGAATAAGGCACACACGCACACGCACAATTTAGAAACAATTTTGAGAATAATATTTGTTGATTTATTGTATTAAGATTTACTTTAGTTGACTCGTTTTAAACGTCGAACGGAGCAGACATATTTTTTTTTATTTTTTCCCATTTGCGAAATACAAATAATGAGTAAAATTGAAAAGAGAGTGAATGAAAGTAACCCTTAGATCCATAATTTCTTACAAGTATTTTCTCATTTTAAGAAGTCAATGGCGCACATGATGCAAACCTTTTATATTTATTATGGTCAACATTATATGACATTTGTGAACATAAATCATGCATACATTTCCACCCCAGGACATACATCAAAACAAAACAAACAACAGACAAAATTTAAAAAAAAAAAAAAGAATAATTATTATTAACTTACGCTGTGATTGCAAAAAAGAAAAAAAAATCCGCAAATTTTTCAAATCTCTCAAATTCGTAAAAATTCCTCGATTAAAACCTTCTCTCTCCCCCCCCCCCCCCGAGAACATGTTCACAAACACAAATAAATTTTATTTTTGTTTTAATTAAAAGTCTTCCAACACATGACGTACAAAAATTTAATTTCCTTTTAAAAGACACAATTGAATTCACAAAACAGGTGAAACTATCAAATAAACAGTTACAGATACAGTTACAGATGTTTTTATTTGCGACAAACTCGGACATCCATTTATGAAATGATCGCATGAATACTACCCAAAGGGGTCAACTAACGTAACAATCTCATACCTTGTTAACACCATAGAAAGCATGAATGTTTTCAAACAATATGTGTTTGTTTATATGTAAATTTTAGTCATTCTAGTCGTGTTCGATTCAAAAAGTTTAAACGAAACAATTTTCGTTTCTTTCTTTCTTTCCTTTAAATATTATTAACAAAAATTGAATTGAATTGTTTATATTAAGTGGGTAAAACTATTATTTGAAAGTATTTTGGGGGAATAAAATTTCCCTCTAACGATCCGATTTAAAAAAATTAATTGTTTTTCAATTCAAACATTTTTTGTTCTATTATTTTACGGCAGACATACGCAAACAAACAAACAAATTTTTTTTTATTCGCGTTCCTCTTTGATCGTCACGATTAAAAAATTAATCACTCATTGTTTAATTAATTAAAAAAAAAAAAAAAAACTAAAAAATTTTAATAATCAATAAGTTTTTTTCTTTTATTTATTTTCCTTTTTCTCTCTCTCACTTCTCGATTGGATTTTTTAAAGCAGAAAAATCACTCAAAGGTACTGCAATCATTACCGGAAATGTTATAATCACATATTTATATATATATTTAATTCTTGACAAATGAATGAATTAAAATTTTTATTTCAGTTTTAAAGTTCTAACAATACAATATAAAAAGAATTTTAGATTTTATTTTGTTTTGTCTGTTACGCAGGTATCCCGATTACGATGTGATAGGAGACCCGGATGTGGCTAAAACGGCTGGAATGTCAACAAGATATTCGGATAATTCATTATTTGGAATATTGCTCGATATACATCTTCTATCCTTGTCGGATCATTTAGTTTGCACATTTAGCAGTCAAGTTTGTCGAGTGGCATATGAAATAATGCAAACCTACGATTTGGATGCTACAACTCATTTCACAAGTTTGGACGACGTTTATTATTACGGGGGTCAAAACGCTCACAGTTCCGTGGTAAATATCATTAACACACACACGTTATTATATTTTAATAATTACTTGTATATAGACGGGGGTGGTGGGTTTTTTTTTTTTCGAGGCCGTACTTCCACACGAACCAATGAATTCTAATGAGATTGAATTAAAAGTCGGAGACAAAATAATCGTGGCCGGAAATCATTGGGACGGTTATTCTAAAGGTCGAAATTTGAGAACGAACAAAGAAGGATTGTATCCATCGTTTAAGGTTCGTTTCGTCTTAATACTACTAACAAAAACACGCCGCATTGTAATTAATAATAATAATTAACAATGGTTAACAAAAATATTGTTTCCAGGTTCAAAACAGAGTTAAAGTCGTAGATTTTCCAGTCAATGATGGTGGCCTAACTTTCTAAGTAATTAATTTTCACACAAACAAACAAACATAAAATCTGTTTACGCGTTAGATTTAAAAAAGTGAATGAAAAATTGCCAAAAAAAATTTTTTTTTTTTTTTTTTTCGTCTGAAACGAGTTTTTAAATAATGATAATAATAATTTATGGTAAATTATAAAGTCATATTACACACATACACGTACACACACACATTTATATATATATATTTTTTATATGTATAGTATAATTTTCCTGTAGATTGATGAGAATTTAAAGGATTCCATAATGACATAAGCATTTTATTATTTTTAAATAAATATTAAATACATTATTATTATTATTATTATTTTTTTTGAATACGTTTTTAAATCGCATCGAAGTTAAAATTAAAATTAATTCCGTATAAATGTTGTTGTTGTTGCGCGTGGGAGGTGGGAGGGGGAGAGGGAGGGGAAACACGACTTCCAATGTTTTTTTATTTAATGTTAATTTTAAAGACTTTTATTATTCGGTATTAATTCATACGAACATGAGATATAAATAAAATAATCTATTTTATTTTTATTCACAATTTAAAAAATTTATTTATTTATTATAATATTACTACGTCACTGTTTTATTGTGATCCCGCAAGTTTTTAATATTAAAATGAATGAAAAAAAAAAATGCTCAAAACATTTTAATTGTTATTATTATTATTATTACTTTAAAAATTTATATTTTATATATACTTTTAATAATTAAAAATTAATTATATATATATGTGTGAGTGTATAAATAATAATTTTTATCTTGTCATTATTATTTTTATAGAAGATAATGAGCGACGAATAGTTTTTTTTTTTTTCAAATTTACACGCGCACGCACGCACACACACACACACGCGAAGAATATTTTTTGTTCTCACCGGAAAATTCCGCCACCACCACCACCACCACGGATCTTACTTTATTTTTAAACTACGGAATTGCACGGTAGAGTTTATTAAAAGAAAATATCGATTAATACTAATTTTTTTTTTATTATTTTAATTTTATTAGGATTAATTGGGGAACAATTTCAACGTCGCATTTGTATAATTTCTGGCCAATTGTTGAAACATTCCCAAAAATAATTTCTTTGCCACAAAAGGTTTAAAATCCAATTTAAATTCACGGCAGGTTTCTTCGAGAACTTGATCGAGTTTGTATAATTGACTGTGATCGATGGTTGGAAACAAATGATGCAAAGCATGTTCACCGAACATGATCATTGTGAAAAAAAAATTACCGTCTACGTCTCTTCTATTTCTCACGGCTGCCAACTGAAGAATTCCAAAATCTTTGTCTTCTCTGAAATTATAAAAAAAATTCCCTTTTTTTTTTTTTTTCTCTCATATTCCAACGTTTTTTTCATTCATATACATATATAAATAATTTATTTTCACCCTAAATAATCTCCATCGTGATAAATTTCCGGATGATGATGAGCAGCAGAAAATCCAATGAGTCCAAAAAAAAGACTTCCAATTACAATGATGACGTTCCACGCAAACAAAGAAGTCCAAATTCCTTGACCGCTAAAAATATAAAGAAATAACGGAAGCGCCAATACCACAATTTCTTCTTCTTGACGTAATAATAAATTTTTTTTTTTTTTCATCATCGTCTTTTTCAAAATTCTGAATAAGAAACAAAAAAGAAAGAAAGAAAGACGTATCAATCATGACGATCACGTCAACAAAAAAAAAAAAAAATTTATTATTATTATTTATTTTTAACCTTCTGAGTAATTGAAAATGAAACATTGTGGCCATGACAAAGGGACTCAAGACCCAGGATAACGGAAATAGTTTGTTCGGTTTAGGTAAAAAGTTCATAAAGGGATCCACCATAGTGACTTCCAAATCTGATGATGAATTCGGATATATATGATGACTTAAAACGTGACTGATTCTCCATTCCCTTGTAAAATGAACAATAAATAATTATTATTTTTTCTTTAGGAGATTGTGTCGAAGTGGATATGGGGGTAGGGGGGAAGGAAAATACCTCACGGACATCAACGATAATTGAAAATAATAAATTCTCCAATTATTTTTCATGTGAAGAAAATTATGGGCGCAAACGGTGAGCATGCTTAAAAAAATTCCAGAAACCAAAAGAAACCAATGATTCTTCCACATCGTCCCTAATAAACCCGTCAAAAATACGGTTAATGCTAAACAGTCGGCCAACATTTTCGTCTGGAAAAATTAATTAAATTTATATTATTAATTAATTAATTTTTTTAAAAATCAAAATGAAAAATAATAATTTTTTTTTTTTAACTTTAAATTGAGGTTCGCAACTTTTCTCATCCAGCAATTTTCTTCCGATGATTTTATTTTTTAATATTTTGTAAAAACCTTTTTTTTCAAAAGTAATTAAACAATTTCTTTCAATTTCAGCAGGTTTTACGTAAAATTTATCCAATATTTGTTCAGGTTTACGCGAAATGTGATTGCATTCGAAAGCTTCAGTTATGTCGGTTCCCTTTAAAAAAATAAAAACCGGTTATAAAATCCATTTAAAATAAAATACAAAAAAAGAAAATGGAGGAATAAGGAATAACCTTTGTTTCTTCCAGCCAATGTTTTCCTCCGGGATGTTTCGAAATCCAATCTGATAAATCGTATAATTTATCATGGATTCTCCAAAGACCTTCCGCTCCATCCGTTAATTTTTTTTCACTTATCCAATCATCTACGTCGACTAAAACGTTATTTTTATTATTTTTACTACTATTATTATTATTATCATTATTGTTTTCTTCTCCTTCTCCTCTTCCTTTTCTAAAAATACCCGGATAAAAAGTATATTTTGATTTTTTCTCCATTTTTTTCAACACACGCGTAATATTTTAATTAAATTTCAACGTGAAATTTATATTTCATGGTTGTATTATGCACGTACACGACACAAACAAACAAACAAACAAACGAACAAACAATGGTACGTGGTTGGATAGAACCAAATAACCGATTCAATACACAATCGTATTTGTAATACAACAGTTTCGTTACAATAATAATAATGATAATAAAAGAAAACGGTATTTGAAACCCGGCTAAAAGAAAAAAAAAAGTAAAAACGTTAATAATATTTTTTTAATGATCTTTTTTTTTTTTTTTTTATTTAAAATTCTTTTTGCATTTTTTTAATAAAATAGGCGAGAAAAAAAAACGTCAAAAACGAACTAAAATATTATTATTATCTTGTTAATTTTTTTTTTGTATTGGAATTAAATTTAAAGGTAAGTTTCATTTTATTTATCTAAAAATCGTTCGCATAATTACAATAATAATAATAATTAATTTTTTTTGTTATAGGAAGTACGTATGAGGATTTATGGGGATTCGTCGAAGCTTCGTTCGATCACCTTTTGAATCTTCCTCTCTAGGAGAAGAAAAAAAAAATAATAATTACTCACGTAAGTCAATTTTTTTTTTTTTTTTTTTAATAGACAATCACAAACCCCGTTAATTAATAAAATAAAATAAATTTTATTATTTGAACTTTTCGTAATAAAAATAAAAATAAAACTAATCCGCGTACATTTTAACATATAAAAATCGCGTTTAACATTTCATTTAATTTTTTTTTTTAGTGCAAAGTACGATAATAATTATTTCACGTTAAATAAGGAAAGGAAAACTCTGTCTGTATCAGTAGTTTGACCTTGACTAACATTATTATTGCCCTTTGACCTTTGATCATATATTATTAACTTAATTTACATTATCGTAAATAATTGATTTTCTCTCGGGACCCATTTTCATTATTATATTTATTTACTTATTTTATTAACTTGAGTTGCACTCGTTTTATTTATAAAATTACTATTGCAAAAAAAAAGTCGTAATAATAATAATAATAATTTTTTTTTTTTTTAATGAGATTTTGATAACATAATTATGATTGAAAACAAAAAAATTTTTAATAACAAATAATTTCATTTCATTTGATATGTGTAGGTTTTATGTATTGAAAGGATTATTTATTAAAATATCGCGAATAAAAAAAAAAATAAATAAATAACATAGTTCATTTTATAATTAATTTAAAGAAATTTTAATAAATGAATATTAAAAAAAAAAAAATTAATCAAAACATAATTTTTATAATTAATAAATTAAATGAGGGGGAAAAAAAAAAAAAAACTAAATAAATAAAAATATACATAATACATTCGTTTTCGAGAGAGAAAATACGAAAAAAAAAAAAAAACAAAACTATAAATTTTAATTAACTAATGTTTTTTTTCTTTTTTTTTTTTAATGAACTCTAATATTTTTATCAGACAGGAGTAGGTATAACACTACTAACAATTCCTCCAGGTCCGGGTAAACAAGATCGTCCTTGTAAATACATATCTATATCTCTGGCTGCTTGTCGACCTTCATTTATGGCCCAAACAATCAACGATTGTCCTCTACGACAATCTGTAATTTAACGGTTTTTTTTTTTTTTTTTTAGTTTAGTTTAGTTACCCTTATAATAATATTAAAGTTAATTAATTTCACTCACCTCCAGCTGCAAATACTTTTGGCATCGAAGTCATATAACGAGAAGGAAAAGTTTTGTAATTTCCTCTAGGATCTAATTCTAAACTAAGTTCATTGGCTATGTATTTTTCGGGACCTAAAAATCCCATCGCGAGCAAAACCATATCACATTTATATACCTAAAACAAAGAATGATAATAATGATTTTCCCAGGATTTTTTTTTTTTTTTTTTAAATTATATTTGACTAACTTTTTCAGTTCCGGGAACTTCCGACATTTTCCATCTTCCGCTATCGTCTTTGGTCCAATCTATTAAAACCGTTGAAATACCACAAACGTTACCGTTTCCATCATCGAGAAATTCCTGTTGAAATAATAATTTTCATTTTTTTAAAAATTTTGTTTCACATTTTTTCTTTTTTTATTCGAAATCAAAAATATCGATCTCTAAATTTATTTTAAATTTTTATTAATAATAATTGATTACTAACTTTGCTCAATATTCGAAATTGTCGAGGATCGTTACCGAATTTCATTTTAACTTCTTCGTGTCCATAATCGACTCTGAATATTCTCGGCCACTGAGGCCATGAATTATCTTTAGAACGTTCCATTGGTGGCTTAGGAAGAATTTCAAATGAAACGATCGATTTGGCTCCCTAAAAAATTTTTTTTTTTTTTCACGACATTTATATCGGGAATTAATTTTAAAAAAATTCAATTTTTTTTTACTTGTCTTAAACTCGTTGCTATGCAATCGCATCCGGTATCTCCTCCTCCGATAATAATAACGTTTTTATCTTTGGCCAACATGTTGGACAAATCAACTTCGTTTCCCATTTGTTTCTTTTGCCAAGTTTCTAAAAATGAAACTGCATAATATATACCCTGAAGTTGCCTTCCGGGTATGGGTAAATCTCTGGGCCACGTGGCACCCGTGCACAATAAAACGGCATCGAATTCATCGTAGAGCTCCTGTAAAAAAATGAAAAAATTCCCGATTTTTATTTTTATTTTCCACCAATCGAAACATTATTTTTGATTATCTTTCCACGTGCAAACCTTTGCCGATATGTCTTTTCCGACATTTATATTAGTTTTAAATTCGATTCCTTCTTGGGCGAGCAATTGTACCCGTCTTTGAACGACCTGTTTAGAAAGTTTCATGGAAGGTATACCATATTGTAATAAACCACCGATTCGATCATTTCTTTCGAACACCACCGTTTGATGGCCGACCTGTATTTATTATAATCATTTTCATTATCAATATTATTATAGAAATCTATTTAAAAAAAAAAGGCGAAGGAATTTTCATATTATCCTGTACTTTATTCAATTGATTGGCAGCTGCCAAACCAGATGGTCCACTACCAACGATGGCTACCCGTTTATTCGTTCTTTTAAGAGGTATTTCAGGTTTGATCCAGTTTTGTTCAAACCCGTAATCAATGATAGAACATTCAATGTTTTTTATGGTAACAGGAAGTTGATTTATTCCCAATACGCAAGATCCTTCGCAAGGTGCTGGACAAACGCGTCCGGTAAATTCTACAAAAAAATATTATGAGACATGACAAACACATTTTGTAATTTTTTTTAAAAACGAAATTTCAATAAGTAAAAAAAACAAAATCGTTCGAATTTATTTATCCATATTTTAAATGCGTAAAATGAATAGTATAGGTTATAAAAAAAAAAAACTTACCTGGAAAATTATTTGTTTGAAGAAGTTGATTTAAGGCTTCTTTCCAATTATTATTAAAAACCAAATCGTTCCATTTGGGAATTATGTTACCCAAAGGACAACCGTGTGAACTTTGACAAAAAGGTACACCACAATCCATACATCTAGCAGCCTGAAATTTTATCATTCCTTAATTTTCTTTTATTATTTTAACTACTAAGAAATTAGATACAATTTTTTTTTTTTTTTTTTACAAAAAATTTAAGGGGCTTTTACTTAAATACGAGATAATTACTTGCACTCTAAGGCCTTTTCGAACGTGTTCAAAATTATAAATTTCATCCCAATCTTTTAAACGTTTTTCAGCGTCTCTATAAAATCCTACTTCTCTTGAATATTTAATAAATCCTCTAAAAACAAAAAAAAATTGAAAAATTAAAAAATTTTAATTTATTTGTTTTAAAAAAAAAAAATAAAAATTTTTTTCAAATTACTTTTTCTTATCTAAAACTTTTTCCGTTTTTCTCTTTTCCATTGTTTCATCTAAAACCACGTCTTCAATATCTTTTACTTTTGGTTCTCCGCCTCCTGATGTTATCAAAGACGTTTCAACTTTTACTTTTTCCGAAGATTCTTCTGCCATCGAACGTAAGGCCTTTTGATACTCATATGGGAATACCTTAATCAAAAATTTAAATTATTTCAAGAATGCCATAAAACCCGGTACATTTAAATCCTAAAGTTTTTACCTTAACGAATTTTTTAGCTTCTTTCGGCCACGACGTTAGTAATGTTTTAGCCACGGACGAATCAGTTTTCTGATAAAATTCTTCTAATAGATTACGAATAAAATCGTAATCGTTTTCAGGTAATTCTAACAATTCTACTAGTTCTTTGTTGCATTTTCTTTAAGTTGGAACAAAAATAAATAAATAAAAAAATAAACGCTCATCTTTAAAAGCAAAAAATAATAATAATAAGTAAGTTTTTAATACAGACCCATCGAACGATCCGTCAATGTCGTAAACATAAGCAATTCCTCCGCTCATTCCAGCAGCAAAATTCCTACCCGTCAATCCGAGAATAAGGCATATTCCACCGGTCATATATTCGCAACCGTGATCCCCGACACCCTGATTTTTTTTTTTTTTGTAAATTTAAAAATATTAAAAATTCAAACAAACATGTTTTCAAATAATTTAAAATGACTTACTTCGACAACGGCTATGGCTCCCGAATTACGAACGGAAAATCTTTCGGCTGCTATACCACGAAGAAAAGCTTTCCCACTCGTGGCTCCATACAAGCAAACATTTCCAACAATCACGTTCAATGAAGAATCAAAATCCGGAGAACTTGATTTCGGAGGATAAATAACTATTTCTCCACCGGATAAACCCTTTTTTAAATAATCATGTTAAAAAATTTTAATTTTACTAACCATCTTTTAATTAATTTTTATTTGACAGGTACATAGAAAGAGAGAGAGAGAGAGAGAGAAAGAAATTACCTTTCCGACATAATCGTTGGCATCTCCTTCAAGAGTTAAATATACGCCACGTGCTAAGAAAGCACCAAAACTTTGTCCTGCAGAACCGGTAAGTTTAATATTAATCCGACCATTCGTTATACCATCTTCTCTGTATTTTCTAAAAAAGTATTTTTTTTCTTTTTTGTTATGTATATTCGAGGTTATTTATTTAAATGAAAAACATTTGTCACGTGACTCACTTTGATATTTCGTAGCTTAAAGTGCTTCCAAACGCTCTGTCTTCGTTTGTTATTTTCATATCTAAATTTATGGATTCTACTTGACCGTTTATTACGGGCATCGCTTCCGCTATTAATTTAGAATCTAATCTTTTTTCCAAATTAAATTCCTAAAAAATTAACAAATTCATATCATGGTTTTTCCATTTTTATTTTTAAAAAAAAAAAATTCATAAAAAATTGAAATTTTTAAAATTTACCTGACGCTCGGATCCTCCGCGAATATTAACTCCGGGACGCATATGAAGAGCATTTTTTAAAATTAAACTAAAATCGAGATGTTTTGCTTTTGAATTTGTATTATTTTCAACAGGACGAAGAAGATCCGTTCGACCGATGAGGTCTTGAAATTTAGATATACCCAATTTAGCCATGTGACTTCGTATCTTTGAAAAAAAGAGAAAAAAAAAGGTTTATAAATTTTTTTTTTTTTTTTTTTTAAGTAAAAATGAAAAACCATGATATGAATATTATAAAAATAAATTAATTTCCGGAAATTGTTTCATCGATATTTCTTATTGTAGGGATCAGTTTCAAAAATAATGTTTTTGATATATTTTATTTAAAATTACTTCTTCGGCCAATAGAAAAAAATAATTGATAACGTGTTCCGGTTTTCCAGCAAATTTTTTTCTTAATACTGGATCTTGAGTAGCAACACCCACGGGACAGGTGTTAAGATGACATTTTCGCATCATGGTGCATCCCATGACAATTAAAGGTGCTGTTGAAAAACCGAATTCATCGGCTCCTAACAGAGCAGCTACGACTACGTCGAAACCTATAAAAAATCATTGGATATTTATGAATTAAGATCCTTTTAAATCTAATTATTATTATTAAAACTTATAAAATACGTATATAATACCGGTTCTAAGTTGTCCATCTGCCTGAAGTACAACTCTCGATCGTAAATTGTTTAAAACCAGTACTTGATGAGTTTCTGCGATTCCGAGTTCCCAGGGCAAACCCGCATTTTTTATTCCCGTCCAAGAAGAAGCTCCCGTGCCGCCGTCGTGCCCCGATATTACAATATGTTCGGCCTTGCCCTAAAAATACAAAAAATTTTTTTATTACACGCGTGCGATAATTTCTTATTTCTCATCGTGCAATCGCGATTGAGTTTTACCTTGGCTACTCCAGCCGCCACAACACCTACACCGACTTCGCTCACTAATTTAACCGAGACTCTGGCAGAGGGATTTGAAGATTTCAAATCGTAAATAAGTTGAGCCAAATCTTCAATAGAATATATGTCGTGATGCGGAGGAGGAGATATAAGACCCACTCCGGGAACCGAATGTCTAGTTTTTGCAATGTCTTTTGAAACTTTATGTCCAGGAAGTTCTCCTCCTTCTCCCGGTTTAGCTCCTTGCGCCATTTTAATTTGTAAATCTTCGGCGTGGGCCAGATAGGAAGAAGTCACGCCGAATCTACCGCTGGCCACCTGAACGTGTAAAAAAAAAAATTTTTTTTTTTTAATAATATCGAATAAAATTTTAAAAAAAATAATAAATAAGAAAAAATTTACTTGTTTTATGGCGGAATTAATATTGTGTGGGGTATTAGCGGTTAAATAACGTTCAGGTTGTTCTCCACCTTCTCCGGTGTTAGATTTACCACCCATTTTATTCATGGCCAAAGCTAAAGTAGTATGAGCTTCTATAGAAATGCTACCAAAACTCATTGCACCTAAATGTGAAAAAAAAAAAAGAAAGAAAGAAAATTTAATTAACATTACTACATAAAAAACTTTTTAATGATTTGTAATTTTTTTTTTTTTAAATTTCTGCAGTTAAGCAAGTGAAAATGTCATGATGATTATATAATAATAATAATAATAATTAATGTAATGATATAATGTTACAACCCTAACAAAAAAAAAAAAAGTTAATATGTTTGTTTTTTTTTTTTTTTAAATTATCATTTACTTACCGGTGTAATTGATAATTCGCCAGCTTCTTATACTTCTGGCATCAAAAGAATCCTAGTTAGAAGAACGTTATTATTCATAACAAAACCGAAAAAAAAAAAACAGGTAAAAGTCGAAAACGAAAACGAAAACGAAATCGAGAAAAAAAAAAAAAGTTTAAGAAAATAAAAATCGGTTAACAAGAACTTACGTTCTTATCGATTAACTTCTGACCCCTCTTCTATTATTTAAAAAAAATTTTTTTTTTTTTATTCAATTTTAATTTCATTATTTGCCTTATAAAATATATATGTATGTATATTGCAGGATGCGCATGAATATGCATAGGGAAAATAAAATATACAAAATATATAAAGCGAGCGACACAATCAATTAGGTATCACGTACCTGTGACAAAACGTTTTACTATTTCAGATGCTGGCTCCACTTGACTGATATCAATGGGATTATCTACGGTTGCTAATTGTATCTGACCACGAATCGTGCACTGCCTGATGCTCATCATCGAAGATTCTACATATTTTTGGTAAGCGTTTCCATCATTTAGTGACGAAGCTTCCTATAAAAAAAATTTTTTTTTAAAAACTTTTATCTCTTTATCGTTTTTTTTTTAAAAGGAATTTTTAAATTTTAATTTTTACTTGTAAATTGGCAATACTAATAGGATCATTTATGTGTTTTTCCCCTCCCTGACGCCAATGGTACAATCCGAGATTTCTCAATACCAAAACGTCGTTATCGTTAAAATAGGATAAGAAATGCCTTTCGAAAGCTTCTTGTGCTAATACTTCAAACGTTACTCCTCCAATTCTTGATTGAGTACCCTAATTATTAAATAAATAAAAGTATTTAGTTAATTTTTTAAGAAAAACTAGAGACGATTTTTAAATTGTTTATATTTAAATAATGAAGTAAGAATGCACTAAATCAATTAAAATTACTCATCAGTACTTTAATGTTATGTATGTACAGATTCAAAAAAAAAAAAAACAATAATATTGACCTATGAACTTTTAAAAAACTCTCAACTCGATACATAAAAAATTTTTTACCTTGAAACATTTTTCTATAACTTCCGGAGCCAAGCCGACAGCTTCAAAAATTTGAGCTCCTTTGTAAGATTGCAAAGTAGAAATTCCCATTTTTGCCATTACTTTGGAAACACCAGTTTCTATGGCTTGACAATAATGCTTTAAAAAAAAAAAAAAAAAATTTATTATACGTGTGTCGCTTTAGATATCGTTGAAGTAAATAATTTAATTAACATTCATGAATAAAAAAAAAAAAAAAATCGAAGAAAATTATTCTATTAATCTCAGATTAATTTTTTTATTCCATATACCAAGTAAGGAAATTAAAGAGGATTAACTAACCGAAAAATATTCATCATCAGACACGTGAGAATCTAGAGCCCCTTCTAGTTTTAAATTTGTTGCCAAATCATAAACCAAATAAGGACAAATGGCGTCAGCACCGTAGCCTAACAAAGAACACATATGATGAACCTCTCTCGCTTCACCAGTTTCCAATATGAGTCCGACTTTCATTCTCAACCTTTCTTCGATTAAATTATGATGAGTGGCTCCCAATACCAGTAAGGAACTCGTGGGTACTCTGAAACAAAAAAAAAAAAAAAATGGAATTAAGATATATTAATGTATGTCCGTGTCAAATTTGTACCTACCAATATCGGGAATGAAGAAAAAATCATTAAATTTTATTTGATAGTCAATAATTAATTACTTTTTAATTATTATTACCTTTTCGGGCCGGCTTTTTTATCAGACAATACTATTAGTTGATAACCGTTTTTAGCTGCCGTGCAAGCTTCTTCGCATACTCTATTAAGAGTTTTTAATAAACCGGATGGGCCATCATCAACGTCAGAAGTTGTATCAATTAAACAAGTCTAAAAAAAATAATAATAATTATTATTATTTTTTAAATTAATGAATTAATTTCCTCATAAATTTTATTCATTTCGAAAATAAGTTTCTCTTATTTAAATATTGTGTCAGAATTTTGAATAAAAGGGGCACAATCGCGAACTCATTATCACTTTTAAAAAAAAATATATACATATATATCAAACATATGAGATTGTCGACGAATGAAATCATCGAATCAAAAACTGTTATGATAATAGTAAAATTTTTACTTGACTAATTAATTTTTTAATTACCTTCCAATTTCGATAATTCGATTTTATTAAAATTTCAAGATCCTGGGGAGACAATATCGGATTTAAAAGTATCAACCTGTGACATTGTTCGGGTCCTGGTTCCAATATGTTTGCCTCCGGTCCTATAGGACATCTCAATGACATAACAATTTTCTCTCGAAATGGATCGATAGGGGGATTCGTTACCTGAAATCACGATACGTATTTTGAATTTATGAAAACGATTCCCTATGCTTAACAATCATTTAAAATCGTACGAGGGTTTTCGTTTTTTTAATACAATTTTCATCGATCGGTCAAATTTAAAATTTTAAAAAATTCATGAAATTAATTTTCTGTGATTCCATTAAATCTTTTACTTTTCTTCGATTCATCGTCATTTCTTTGTGTAAATATATAATTAATATGAGGGAAATTAATAAGCGTTACTTTACTTGGGCAAAAAGTTGTTTGAAATAATCGAAAATCAGAGGTTGAAATTGAGATAAGCAAGCCAATGGAGCATCATTTCCCATGGATCCTAAAGCTTCTTTTCTGTAATTAAATTAAAAACAAACAAAATTTTAATTTTTCTGTATAAATAATTTTTTTTTTTTTTTTTAAATTATTACCTGATTTCAAACATGGGCATGAGAAGCATATTGATAGTTTCAATTGAATAACTGAACAAAGATAATCTTCTGTCGCCTCCCCAAACTTTTGCAACAGCATTTTCGTCGGGAACGTGTACGAAACCGTTAGTTATTTCTTTTTTATCAATCGGTTTGTTTTTCTTTTCATAAGCCTCTCGAAGATCAGACATGTTAATCTAAAATTTAAAATCAAAATATAATTACGATGGTTAAAAGCAAATAAAAGCAAATAAATAAATCAATAAAATGGCGAAAAAGCAGCTAAGGAAATTAACTATTAGCGCGCGCACACACACACACACACACACGCAGCTTAACACGGTGAACGATGAATAAAAAAAAAAAAAAAATAATAACAAAATTGTCTTTTTTATTTCGTTAAAAAATAATGAGAGAATGAAATTTAAATAATGGCAGCAGCACTAAAAATGATAAAAATAATTTTATAAAATTTAAATTAATTCTTACCTCCTAAATTAAAAGGAATAAACATGTAACAAAAAAATTCAATATTAATCATCATCATATTAATACATGTGCGTGTGTAAACGTATATATATATATATTCATGTAAATTTTAATTTTTTTTTTTATCTTCATTTATAAAAAAAAAAAAAAAAAAATAATTAACTGACTCATTTATTCATGTATAATCTAATTATATAAAATATAAAATTTGACTGAGGAAAAATATTATCAAAATCGTTTAAAAAAAAAAGGGAATCCCTTTTTTTTGTGAATTTTTTTATTTGCCCCCAAAAAAAAAAAAAAAAAAAAAAAAAAAAAAACAATAACGAATTATTTAATTAAAAAAAAAAAATTTTACCTGAACTTTTAACCAATCAGAATGCGGTCTAGAATAAGCTATTTCTTTTTTTAGTTCAACATCTCCGATTATTTTTTTTTCTTTTGTGTCCACCAATAACATACGACCCGGCTTTAAACGGCTCTGAATAAAACAAAAAAAAAAAAATTTTTTTTTTATTGGGAATAAATGGGAATCGTTACAATTAACCAAAATCGGGGTAATAGTTAAGTTAAAGAAAAAAGAAAAACGTTACATGTAAAGAATAATTAATTTAAGAATTGGAAATAAATCATATTTTATACTTGTGAAATATTAAAATAGACAAAATAAAAAATTTTAACATAAATTATTTACCTTTAAAGAAATATTACTTGGTTCGGTATCGTAAACGCCAACTTCTGACGCCATAACCATTATATTATCTTTGAGTACATAAAATCTTGATGGTCTTAATCCATTTCTAAAATTAAAATAATAAAATTAATTTTAATTAAAATAATCAAATGACAAAAATTACAAAATAATTACCTATCCAAAATTGCTCCCACATATCTTCCATCGGTAAAAGTCAAGAGTGCCGGACCGTCCCAAGGTTCCATGGCGCACGATGCCCAACTATAAAAATCTCTTTTATATTGAGGCATGGTTTTATCATTTTGCCATGCCTCTGGAACCATTGTCATAACCGCTTCCGGTAAGGATCTGTTTCCTGCCATGACCTATAATTATTCTCATTTAATAATTATTAACCTTTTTTTTTTAAAACAAATAATAATAATATTTTAATTTTTTTTTTTTCTTTTTTATACCAAAAATTCAAGAACGCAATCTAATGAACCAGAATCAGACAAACTCGGTTCCACAACAGGATAAAGTTTCTTCAAATCATCACCGAAAATACTGCTTTTCATAACACCTTCTCTAGCTTTCATTAAATTAACGTTTCCTCTAAGGGTATTTATTTCTCCGTTGTGTGCGACGAATCTGTAACATATATTTAATAAATATTTATAATTAAAATGAAAAGTTAATAAAGATAATTGTTTTTTTTTCAGACGCACCTGAGAGGATGAGCTCTTTCCCAGCTGGGAAATGTATTCGTTGAAAATCTAGTATGCACAATAGCAAGGTACGTATCGTAACCTGGAGACTTTAACGAGTGTTTAGAGAATTAATAACGTTCTAAAAGTAACAAAACGATAAAATTATCAATAATAAATTAATTATTATAAAATAAAATTACATTTAAATCAAGAAAGTAGGTCCAAAGCTGATCGGATGTTAATTGTCCTTTGTAAACAATCGTGTAAATACTCAAAGAGCAAATATAAAATCTCGCACCAGGACGTGGTATTACATGCGTTGCCATTTTTCGTAATTTAAACACCTACAAAAAAAAAAAACGGTTACAAAAAAGTAATATAATTCACCCCATTTTATTTATCGTGTTATCTCCTTTATTTGATTCCATAAAAACTTTTTATTAATTAAAAAATTTCATATTTTTTTTATTTTTTTGCAACAATATCCTACGAATTGTATTTATTAAAATTAAGAGTTTTAAAAATGTTTTTATATCAAAATCATGATCTCGTGAATTTTTATACTTTTCTAAAATTACGCCAATATTACTTTTATTGTTCATTATAATTTGAATTTGTATTACCTGACGTTTAAGTAATTCTTCATCCTGATTTCCAGTGACAAAAACTTGTCTCATAAAAGGTTCACAAGCCCTGGCCACCTCACCGATTCCGCTATTCGATGTAGGTACAGTTCTCCAACACAAAACCTGACATTAAAAAAATTTATTTCACTTATTAATAATTATAAATATAAGTTTATTATCATAAATATGTAAATATAATTAATTTATGTAATGTTTGATTTTTTTTTTAAATGAATATTTTACAGGGAAAACTCAAAAGAAAAAAACAATAATAATGGATGCGAACCTGAAGGGAACATTCCTCTGCCAGCTTTTGAAATTTTTCTTCGCTTTCCAAATAATGAGTTTTATCGACGAAGAATATTCCAGTGGCGTATTTTCCAAAAGGCGGTAAGTCAACATTTTGTTCATCTCTAATTAAATAAAATACGATTTATTATTATTATTATTATTTCCTTTCGCCTTTGTGAAAGTTCAAAAATTAAACAACGAAAGGGGGGAAAAAACGGTGTAATTAAGAATTTCGTAAAAGGAAATAAATGAAAACTCGTACCTACCTAAATACCCGTTAGACAAAAAAGTATTACAAGAAATTTTTTTTTTTTTTTTAAAATAGCAAAAAACTTTGAAATGATGATGAATGAGAACGGTTATTTTTTTTAAATGAAAAGGAATTTTAAGACGTTATTATGCGTATCAAAGTAATTACGGTATTTTTTTTATTATAAGCCTCTCACCTTAATAAGTTGGAATAAAAATTATGGGGTATAGCAGTTAAAACTCCAGCTCCATCACCAGTATCATTATCTCCAGCACAAGCACCGCGGTGGTTCATTCGATGAGAAAGGGTTTTTGCATCTTGAAGAATCTAAATAAATTATTTTCAAAGGCATTTTAGTTTAAATACATTAATCGCGCGATTGGAATGCAAAAAATATTATTATTTCCATTGTCAATTTATTATTTTCAATATAATTAAAGAAAAAAATTTAAACAAAATTCACCTCGATTCACAAGCGATAAAAAAAAATTGATTTATTAATAAAAATGGTTTTTTTTTTATACCTTATTAGAACGTGTCCCATCTATTGAAACTATAAATCCGACACCACAAGCTTCATGTTCATTAGCTGGATCGTATAAGCCCTGCGCAACAGGAAATTCCCACGAATTTTCGGACATCGAAACCTTTTTTTTTTTTTTTTTTAAAATAAATAAAAAATTTATAAAAGTCAATTCATACTAAATTACCAATTATTGCCAATTACCATAGAAATGACAAAAAATTGATAATGAATATTAGGGGGGCGAGAGAGAGAGAAACACGTTAACAACAAGTTTACGTATATAGGGAATTTAGTCTTTTTTTACTACTTAAATCATCAACAAATCAAGTCTAAAAGAAACAGCTCTAGAATTTTTAGTAACACAAATATTTAGATAAAACTTAATGTTGAAAAACTACTAGTTTCATTTTATTTTTTTTCTCTACACACACACACACACACACATTCTGAGGTTTTTATATAAGAACCAATTTTGCTGACAACAAATCTATTACAGTTAATATTGTTTTCGATAATAAACATGTTTCAAATAATAATAATATAAAACCATAATCTTATCTTAAAAAAAAAAGATTTTCAAAGTTTATCCATATGTTTGTTATTTTTTAATAGAAACACGTTTGCAGAAGAAAATGAGAGGGTTTAAGGAAAATGAAAGATGAAATAACGAGTGTCGATTTTTTACATTTAATTAAATTTTGGAAATTTATCTGGACCCCCATGACGGTCAAATGCATAAAATAACACGTTTGTCGAAAGTTATTTTTAGGAAAAAAGGCGTAAAAAAAAAAAACAATTTACATATCAATATCGTTTTCATTTTGCTATAAAAAATGAAAATAATTTTAATGACCAATTTACTCAGACACACACACACAAAATATTATAGTAAATCGTTATAAATAAAAGTTTAATATATATTATAAAAACAAAATAATTTTTTTTTTTCATAAATGAATGGGAAAAAATAAAATTATATATATAAGAAAATTGTTTAGAACAAGTTAAAACTGGTTTTTCATTATAATAATTGAAATTTTAACGGGCGTTAAATTGAATATTTTTAACTTTAATGAAAATCATTTCATGTCAATGATTCGTTTAATCAATCAATTAATTAAAAAAAAAAAATATTTCACGGGTAAAATTATCAATTTTTATTCATGCAAAACCCAAAAAAAAATTTTTTTCTTTTTATTTATCTAATAAAAAAAAACATTTAAATAATTATTTTTTCCATTAAATGTTTTTGTTTGCTTAAACGCAAGCCAAAAAAAAAAAAATTTTTTTTTTTTAAACTTTTGGCTTATTCTATTTATAAAATTTTACATTCAAACTTTTTCTTTCTTTTCTTTTTTTTTTTTTTTTGTTTTCGTGTAGAACGTGAAGGGTAAAAAAAAAAAAAAACCTAAAAGATGTAAAAGAAATTTATTTAATATAAACGAAACCTCTCATAGAAAAAAAAAATTAAATTATTTTAAATGGTTTCATTTAAATTTAAATTAAATTAAAACAATAAAAAAAAAATTTATTTATTATAAAATTTAAATCCTTATTATTATTATTATTATTATTTTCTAATACAAAAGAAAGCTTATAAAAAAAAATTTTTTTGTCGATCGAAATTAACAACAACAACAACAACCTAACAAATGTTGGCTACGTTTAAATACGTCACACACAATATTTAATGATAAATAATTTGTTTGCCAAACACACGAAACGGATAAAAATAGTACAAAATATATGATTGGCAAATATTTAAGATTATTATTATTACTTTTCGTCCGCCACATTTTAATTAATATTTTTTTTATTAATTTCGTTCGAACGACAGACACTCATTTTTTTTTGACTTTAATATAAATAATATTATTTGTAGTTTACGTACAAGGATAAAAATAATAATAATAATAATGACACTATTCGCATTTCAAATAAATTACACTTTATCATCATCATCATCATTGTGTCAATTGATAAAAATTATTATTATTTTTTTTCCTCTCTCTCTCTCTCTCTCTCTCTCTCTCTCTCTCTCTCTCTCTCTCTCTCTCTCTCTCTCTCTCTCTCTCTCTCTCTCTCTCTCTTCAATATTCATTCAATAGAACTCAATTTAAGAAAAAAAAACCAAAACGATTTGTATTTTTTTTTTCTTCAAACTTTTCAATTAAAAATTCGGAGCAATAAAAAATAATATTTTTTTTTTTTCTAATCATAAAATAATAATAATAATAATAATGATAATAATAATAATGATAATAATAATAATTTTGTCAATAATTACTTTTTTTTTTTTGTAATATAAGTAAATCGAT